AAAAAAAAAAAGACCATGCCCGATGAGTGTGGACAAGCTCAACGAGAAACAAAACTTGAAATGTCCATTATATAAAAGAACATACCTCCACGGCCGAGTCAACCTTCCGCTTCTTCCCTTTGGCAACTGCAATATGATGATGATAAATAACTATGCCTAATTTACATGATTATTAGAAATAAAATGTAGCGAATGATAGAAGGCCTATCATTCAATTAAAAGAGAGACTACGCCTACCACAAAGGATGAAATATAGAGCTGACATTCTAATTTAGCTTACTTAACTGTGCACAAAGATGACATTCTCTTTTACTATAATTTTAAGATAACCTGTCCAAAACAACAAGAGACAATTCTTGGGATTTGATAAGACTGTGAATCCCATTTCGAAAGCCAGAAGAGCATCAAGTGAAATTTTGAAAAACAAAGTAAATCGATATGAAGTGAGAATGATAGTTAGAACCACAACTAGCCAGCCAACCACTCTTTCTCACATGACATTCAATGTAGTAAGTGAAAAGATAAAAGATATCCAAAAACTTGAAAACTACATACCTACATTCTTTGCCTCATCTTTATCCACTTTAGCATCTGCAAACTCAAACCCAGTCAGGAAGGATGCTAGTATATTAACAAAGTAGTCAAGCATCACAGATAGTTTTGATCAGTACCAGCAGAACTCTTCGGCTTTGTGTAAGTTGAACGCCCTGATTTACTGTTCTTGTCAACCCCAGCCTTCTTATCAAGGGCCTGTTGCTTTAAAATGTTCTCTTCAGTATTCTTCATCAAACGATCCATGCCTACCCATTCATCCCAACTAATTGCAAACATATTCAAGGCCTATGTTAGTAATCTGCATCAGTAATAACACACACCATAATACCATATCAATCTTTGCTGGAGTACTTTTGCAGTAAAGGATTCGACGACAAAATCCACAAATATCACCATACAATTTCTTCCTAGGTACCTTTCTAATCCCATGGGTGAAACAAATTTAACTTTTATAATAAATAACCAGGAGGTTTTGTATTCGGTTTGTGAAATATAAGAAGAAAGTTTTGCTTGATACGGATGGACCAAGACATCATTACAGAACCATCACATTAAGTCTGCCTACCGACAGGATTTCCCGGGTCACTTTTGTGAAATTATTAGGAGTTCATGAGAAATATGATTATACCATATCCATCCTGGAAGTCGAAATCCTATAACATTTTAAAGGTACCCGAGACGCAAACCTAAGACAGCATCAGAAATGCTTGGAACATACGGAAGTTCTTCCATCGCATAAAATCTCTTGGGCAGTGTTATTAATGGCGGATGGCGGTACATGGCGTTTTGCCAAAATTCCGCCATTGGCGGCCGCCGTGGCGGTCTATGGCGCCGCCATGAACGCCATCATTCACAAATTTTGCGTAGCGGATTGTTAAAAATCCGCCACGCCATACCGCCATGGCGCTGCCATGGCCGCCATTTGATAACACTGCTCTTGGGCTAATCCAGTGTGCATGAGAAACAAAAGTGCTAAAAAAATATCATCCTACAACTTAAACAATAATACTGGGAGGCTGATCAGACATCGTGCTGACTACAACAGGCTATGTGTCTACATGCATTGAACACAAGGCAAAGAAATATTTCTATCTTCACGAACAAAAAGAAACTAATTTTGACAACACAAATAATGTTCTGACCCATCCAAGTATAAAGATTGAAGATACAAACAGCTTCTTCATTTTGAATGACCGTCCTTTCATTTGGTTATCCTTTTGATAAAAACAAATAAATTCGCACCACAGACTGTGTTTCCATAAAGATACATGAACTACACTTTCTTGACCAAATATTCAAAATGGGATGAAGTTTTAGAATATAGTTGATGCCTCAAGATGACAAACAGGATACTACAATTTCATTCCCTGATATGACTCCCATCCAATATATGCAAATTAATGTTCACTAATCTGACCTGCACTAATTTATGCTAGCTGAAAGTGGAAAGATGTTCTTTTGGAGTCACCATGGAGGAAAAAATAAGGTGTGAGTTCAAGCTTTGTCTAGTTCTTGTGCATTTCCACAATTCCAGTACCTGAAATGAACTTCGAGAAGATAACCACCTATACCACTCACTAAATTCCATATTCTCCCTACAGCAAAATTTCCTTTGCTTTGAACAATTACTTCCCTCATTTGAATACACGAGCATCCTCAACAAATCCGCAAAAACCAGAAATAAAAGTTCCAGCAAGTATACGAGAATATGGAAATGTTAACATCCTATACGAATCCCCTGTTCATTGCTAGAAATTTGGCACCAACAACATCCTCGCCTTATATTTATGTTCTGTGAGGCCTCTGTCGTAATCTTCTTTTTTATGTCATTTTTCAAAATATAGCAACTACCAGGGATTGATTCGTGTCCATTGCAAATGGAGCTGGAAGAGTCATTGTTGATAATTCTCCTGGCATAGTGCTAATAATGGACTAGATCAAAATGGCTCAATTAAATTCTAGTGCTTCTTCTATTAGTGAAGTTTCTAGAAAAAAAAATATATCAAACGACGCAATGCACCTTGGGTCGCTACGGAAACAACCTCCTTGTATAATTACAAGGGTAAGGTCTGCGTACAACTGACCCCCCAGACCCCACCCCAGACCCCAACCAGTTGGGGATATACTGGGTATGTTGTTGTTGTTGTACCAGGGATTGATTGACCTAACATGTAAGATGTAACCTATCAACCAAATCTTGAGCCAGTTTAATGCATTTGATTATTATGCTCTTTCTTTATGAGATTCCCATACCTAACGTCAGCACTGATATCACATGAAGTGAAATACGTTTTAAATGAAAATGTAATCTCATATAATCTGAAAATGAATAATGCAAGGTTGAGAAGTTTCAAGGAAATTTCAGAATTTATGTATATAACAATTTTGTGAAGGTGTGATGAAGTCCACTTACAATATTTATTTATTTTAAGTATGTAGCATTTATTTAAAAGATTATTGCTTAAATTTAGTGATCATAACAATGAGTGAATTAAGCAGATATAGAATGTAGTAGTGTGCATTAATATTATAATTTGAATTGATGATATAGATAGTGATTGACAAATATGTAAATCAAGGCATTTTATATTTGTGAACAAAGGGAGAAAGTAATATGGATAGTTCCATAGTAAGATTGTGTATAGAGTTTGAGACTTTTAAGTAATATTATTGTGGATCCAAGATTCTACTTCACATGAAGAAAAAAAAAAGCATAGCAGACAGTAAAAAGAAGAAATATAGTGGATATTTTCATTGAAAATAAATCGAATAAACAAGATTTCAGATTTCTGAATTGTAAAATCACAAATAGTATTCTTGAAAAACCACATGTTGAATGATCATTAAAATCACCAAATAAGTAAAATAGCAGATATTAGATTCAGTATATCACAAATATAGTATTGCAAAATCCATCAAGAAAAAATACTTTCACATGAATCAGAATCAACCGAAGAGTATTTTTATGCATGACTTCTTTTTTAATAAGAATATAAAATATTCTAGCAACAAATACTAAACATATTAAAATTTAAATCCATATCTTACAATCAACATAATATATCATGTAGTGATAGTAACTTCAAATCACTGACTATATTCCCATAAAAAAATAATCCCACTAACATGGTAAGTACAGACATTTATAGCAAGGCCCAAAAACAACTCTGTTCCCATCCCTGGAAGAGAGCCAGGGGCTAATATAAAAATTAGTCGCATATGATTTTCTCTCATGAAGCTTTCCTCTCAGTTTACGGAATAGTTAAGTTCATGAAAATCCTAAAATGAGCATCTCTTTGGACATACACAGTTTCTTCACAAGAAGCTCCTTACAGAGCTCGCATGGAAATTTATATGCATTTTATCACTTCAAGCTCTATGTTCTCGTTTTTAGTGCTACATTCTTCATATATTATTTTCATGCAATTAATCTTCTTTGAAGTTAAGCAGACAAACCAATGCTATATCATCATCATAAACATATAAGAAGCAGCAATTAATAAAAAATAATAAGACTAATTTGTTTCCAAAGGGGTTCTAGAGAATATAAACACTTTGTACCTAATTGTTTGTCATGTAGGCTATGGGATCAAGACATGCAGTTTATAACAAAATTGACACTGAAGTTTGACCTTGATTTGATATGGAGGAACTAAGACAAGGTTGGGAGTGGAATGTGTAGGGTGGGGAATAAAGTTTTGTCTCAATTTTCCTATATGGTTCAGGACTCCGAATCAGTGAATGTGTTGCGCCAAGACTGAAAAGTATACTCACTTCTTATTCCAACCCTGCAAACACACAGAACATAAACAATTAGAGTGTCCAATGACAAAAAGAATGCTCAAAGTCATTAACAAATTAGGTGCAAGGGTAATAAGGTGTTCATTGTCTAGATTGCAAAAACCATCTAACACATGATACCAGGTAATGAAAAGATATTAGATTATCCAAAGACAGTAGCCACCTCCCCTCCTCCAAAAAATAAGAAAAAAAAATTATAAAAGAAAGTAAGTTAATAACTTACAAGGTAGTGGACAAAATATCTCCATTCATTCTTCCGAAACTCTGCTTTTTGTACCTTAAAAACACCAAAGAGAAACTAATCTAAGAACAATTTCAGTAAAAAATGATATTAAGTAAATAAGTCATATAAATATCCATCTACAAATGGTACAAACATGCTAAACAGCTAAAATAAATTGAGATCCATAAATGACATCTCAGGGTTACTCGTATTAAGAGCTGCTGCATGAGCAAGGTTAATGAATTTAAGAACCATCTCCCTGAATAAGATCTACAATGGAGAGAACTTCAGCATCTCATGAAAATTTAGGTGGTTAATAGGTGGTTCTTTGTAATTTCCACAACATAGATGCAACAAGAAACCCGGACAGACATTAAAAAATTGTGTACCATGTTACTCCATTTGAGGAACCTGTGTCGGGAAATTTTCTAAACTTCTGTAGAAGCTAATAGTCTCTTTTCTATAATTCATGTTGACAATGATTACTTAATACTCTATATGCATTAGATTTACACAGCTAACTTCATGAAGGTTTCATTATTAGGTATGATTTGTCACTAACAGCAGAAAAAGGAGTATATTGTACTCTATGAACATTAATTAGAACATTTGTTCATTAGAATTAAAACAAATAAAAGAAAGAACAGCTAGCAATGTCGGAAGCTATTAAACATCAGATGATGCGTTACTTTAAGGGTGAAATTCACAACTTCTAATTGCTTGGGCTTGACACTATAAACACATCACATTGGTAAATGCTCATATACTTCCGAATGTGATAAAGGAAAGACAAAATAAACAACATATCCTCTCAAAACAATCTCCACATACACATCAGTTGCAGAAATACATCACATGACGAATTAGTTAAGGGATGAAATTAACAAAATTTCCAGTTGCCTGCCACTTTAAGTCTATCAGATTGGTAAATGCTTATATCATTTGAAATCTCTAATAAAGAACATAAATTATAAATAACATATAAGCACATGTCCTGGCAAATAATCTCCCGATAAAAAATCTTCCGGCGTGCAATCATGGCGGACGAGACACGGGATAAAACCATGTATCAACCAATGTAACACCATTACCGAGCGTAGGAGGTACAACTTGAGCTACAAGCTCATGGTATATTCTATATTCTATACTCATTTCTCATTAGGTATTATTTCAGATAACAAGAAAATAACTAGATATATAAATACATATTCAAAAAAAA